GGTAATACCTTATTAAACTTTACTTGAGTCTATTATTTTATTTTACCATGATAATGGCTTAATTGCTAACAGATGTTACAGATTATTAAAATTTAATTATCACATTACGATTTTACATGTGTTATGACTGTTTTTTAATTAAAAGCTTAAATGGACATAGATATATTTTAGTAATAATAATAATTAAAATACATCAATTTTAAAATGTTCCATTAATATATATAATTATTTAATCTATGCATAATATAAAAATACGTAATGTATCATCTATAATTAAATCAAAAGAATTTATTCTTTATAAAATGTAAAATGTGTTTTATTTAGTCATTTGTTGCTTGAATAACGCAAAAATAATTTCATTATGAACGAGACGTTGCAACGTTGCTATACAATTTTCATACAAGGAATAAATATCCAGGAAAAATAGCGAATCCAGTTTTATATCATTCACTGAGCAATTCGTTTGCTTTCCTTCATTCTCTTTTTGATTTCAAAGCAGAACCAAGGACGCGTTCGCAATATTATGAAATTTTACGAACTACAAGCGAACTCGGATTCTCTTGGGGCATATATGGTGCCATGTGCTGCGAATGCGTTTCCATCTGCGTCTTGGGAATGTTTCCGGCATTATGTTTCCGTATTAACACCTGCTGTGGACCTTTGTCCCTTTCTGCCCGCGCATGTTCAGAACCTCCGGTTATGAGTTTTCAATGCGACTCGTATGTTTTCTAAATCCACCAAGGCATTGGGCGTAACCCCGACGATCCGAAGAAAATTTCTTTCTGAGACCCTATTCAGATACCCTTTTTGCACTGGCGAATAGCAGCGCAAATCTTTGGAAACCATCCAACGTCGTGGATTACACGATCATTTCTTGAAAATTAAAGCACATCGTGCCAACTAAAAAATTTCCATTTTAGATCATTTTCTACTCTTAATCATCTTAAATTTACCTGGTGGCAAGTCAGATACTTCACATCTAAATTAAGAAAATTTATATCTTAAATCTGGGATTATTTAAAGTTTGTATTTAATTTGAACACTAATGAAACTTATGAAAGCTCTCTTTATGCCGTAATTTATTCTCTTTTAAAATACGCAAGACGTATGACCATATGACTGTCTGTTATGATATTTAAGGGAGAAATATTATATTGTTAACAATCTACGATAAGATTTTATTATCGCTATAGTAAAAAAGTTTAATTACGTGATTCGAATCAATGCAAACGTTATTGGGTCAAATGCGACTTAAGCTTTTTTCTTTTCATCTTTCCATTTTAAACGGTACATACGTTCTCCAAGCGTGTTGGGAAAGGATTAAACTCTTTTCACCTCGTTTCGAGCGAGCAAAAATATCTCTGTCCATGCTAATACCCGCTTGCGCGATATTTTGTCCATTACTAGCTGAATCTAAACCTTTAATCTTTATCGTAGAAATAAATAAAACATACTTAACGAACTTAACTACTAACTTACGATACAAATACGGTTACGATACAGCAACGTTATACGCTTGTACGCTTTTTTACCAATCTTGATTTGCACTCTAATCTGTTTTCTAGAGAGCTGTAAATATTATTTTCCTTTACGAGGCGTACAAAACCATGATTTCATTGCTAAATCTACTTAAGAGATGTTTAATGATAAAAGTAATTATCTCCAAAGCAAAATATACGTGATATATATATATATATATATATATATATATATATATATATATATATACATCATAAAAATGTAACGGCATACAAACTTAATTTATTTTTGTCGGTTTAACAGAGAATAAGAGGAATGCATTCACACAATGCATTTAACGATGTATATCACATTTCAAGACGGCACGTTAAATCTTCTCATATTAATATGATAATATACCGCGCATGATTGCTTATATTAAAACAAAAATTTATGCGAATGTCTGAAAAACGAAATGCCGTACTTTGTGAAGAGACTTTCATATTTTCGGCAAGATTCGATCTTACAATTTTTCAACACCCATGGAGCAGCATACGTTCGTAAGAGAACATATAACCGTATTCGCAGAATGGCACGAGGACCTTTCTTCCCTCCAAACCTTTTTCTCTTCCCGATTCGCGATCGCGTTACATGGTTCTGGAATCTTTCCAAGGAGCCGGCTCCGCGATTTTTAGAGCGAAGATTGAGGCGAAAAGTGTATGCAAAGTACCTCCGGATTTTTCGAGATTCCTGATACGTTTTCGGAGCTTCATGTTACGATCTAGGTAATATGGATTTGACATAGTCTCTTATTGTTACCTGAAGAATTTTTTCAATGTCATATGATTTTCAACTGTAACAAGAATTAAGACATTTATCGTCACATTAACAAAAAAATATTTTTGATAATATATACAATAAGAAATTATAATTAAGAAATATAATATGAAGAAAATCTTCTAAATCGTACTTTTTGTAAAAAATTTTAGATTTATTCAGACTAACTATGGTTTTTTACAATGATAAAAATTATTATAAAATTAATAAATAAATATATTACATATTTTATTATTGTTGACTATTACATTGTTTTTTATATTTATAATTTGGTTTAAATTTGCTAAAAAATAAGTAATATTGAATAGATAGAAATACATAAGATAAATAGAATTTGATATTAAACAGACATTAAATAAAA